AAGTATCCATTGACATGGATCTTGGAATGTGTCTGTTGACACATTCGTGGCTCTACTTTTGCTACCAGAACTTCATAAAATCACCTTGTGAACCCTAGGCATTAAAGCCACATTGAACATCGATGAAAATCATCTGTACATAGGCCAGCACCTTCTCGGCAGCATGGCATTGCTTCCCTGCTTGGCTTCAGAAGAAATGATGCTGACATAAATGCTTCAGGAATAGACCTTCACTGATGCATCAGGAAGGTGGAGCAGCAAGGACTACTATAAACTGCTCATATGATACCTGAAAGCCACTGGTGCAACATAAAAATTGTCCCACTCTTTAGTCCCCAGTAATCTTGTGGACAGCTCCCCTGCTGAATTCTTGAACCAAGACCAACCTTAGGCTATATTTGTTCGCTGGACAGCTCCCTAATCTTGTTAATTTGCCTCTTCGGTTCTCTGGGGACACAAGGACACAAACTGACTCCTAACTGTAGGTTTTATAGGACAGTTGTTTTGGCAAAAAGTCCCAATCAGGGCCTAACCAACCATGAGTTAGTTTTCATCCCCACCTCACACATCTGATTGGGCAAGGCTGCCACTTGAGAAGAAACTTGCCTCAACTAACACACCTGCCACCTGGGAACTTCACTTCTATTTCCTCAATGAAAAAAAAATAAGGCCTTGTCTCCCTCCACTGGGTTCTGATGAAAGGAGGTGAAGCCTGATATCACTGAGAGAAGCTGCACCAGTTATTTCCTTTCTTCTGGCAGCAGGCTGAAAAGAATATTCCAGGGGAACCTATCAGAACTGCTGTTTTCCCTTGTCTACTGCAGAGGCCTGGATAGAACGTGATGGCTCTTTCACTATCTGCAGGAGCCTAAGAGGAGGAGAAGCTTTGTGTCTCCCCCTTTTTCTGAAAGCCTTGCACCAGTGTGGAAAAATAAACCCATTTTCTTCACCTTCCTCCTCTGTGAGATGATATGAGGGCAGCAATCCCAGTTCTTTCATTTTACGCAGGACTCCCTGGGCAAAATGAAAGGATCATACTTGCAAGGTGCTTTCTTCATGCTGTCTGCAGCTGGCGAAAGAAAGAGGCTGCAGGGCAACAGTGGGCCTTCTCATCTCAGAAAGTGGGCTGGCCCAGGCTCCAGTCACTTAAGCTAGGCTTACTTCTCATACAGAAGTATTTAAGATTGCATACTATATTAGTAAATTTATATCACTGCAAATATGTTTTGTTCCAAAACATATGTTTTAATTGCTTTAGGGGGGGAAAGGAATTGATTTCATTCATTTTCACACCTTTGTTTCTTCCACATAAATATTTTATGGGCCAAAAATATTCTAAAATTCTCCCATAAAGAAGGCTGTGTTTCATTGTTACAAATGCTTCCCAAATTGGATCTAATGTTCTGGTAAATTATCCACAGAAATACAAACTAATCCATATTTCATGTTGTCTCTATGATGGTGAAGAAGGAATTATATTTACTCACTGTCTACTACTTTTTTTTCAACTTTAAGTGCATGCAGCTGGAGGGCCCCACCTGCCCAGAGATTGGGTGCGTGGCCCGTGGGTCAACAGATCATAGTCGACCGTGTCGAACGCTGCTGTTAAATCTAACAAAAACAGCAGCGCCAACCTGCCCCAATCCAGCTGCCTACGGAGATCATTTGTAAGGGCGACCAGAGCCGTCTCTGTCCCATGGTCAGGGCGGAAGCCAAGGTGGAACAGATCAAGGATGGAAGCATCCTCCAGGAAAACTTGGGAGTTTTTTGGATAAATGTAAAGTTCTGCATTTAGGTAGGAAAAATCAAATGCATAATTATAGGATGGGGGAGACTTGTCTTGGCAAAAGTATGTGCAAAAAAGATCTAGGGGTGGCTGCGGGTGTTGGGGCTTCAGGGCGGGGCTTCCCCTGCCAGCCAGGCAGCGGGTAGAACCCCCAAAAAAGCGGGTAACCCCCGCAAAACCGGGGGGGGGGTATGGCAACCCTAAATATGTTATGAAAAGTGACGACAATGATGACAACTCTTTCAAATGCATTTGAACAGCTCACCAAATGATCAGCTCACTCCTTGTGCCTAGCAAGCAGGATGTGAACCAAACCACTGAGGGTATGAAGTCTAAAACATGAGCTGAGCCTTTACCAAAAAGCGTGCAATAATCAAATGGCTGCTTAGACATGAATACTTTCAATGGCAAGAGGCTGCCCATGCCTGAGAGCAAAAACTTGGAAGGTCAAATCACTTTGAGACAGGAACAGCTGTAGCAAGACTATCATCTCTTTAGTATCTCAGAAAGCAGCTGTGCTAAAAGCAGGAGCCAGAAAGTTCCCTTATGCCACCCTTTCATGTGTTACAACCCCCTTATCTTCCCTGACCCTGACAGTAAGAGGAGAGGAGATGGGGAAGGGGGGGAGGGACATTCCTTTGAGAATGAAATGCTTAGCACCTGATAAGTGACAATTGCTTCATTCCAAATAGTCTACACGGCTTTTCTTTCTGCCTAGCTGCTCTTATCATTTGCCTTGTTGTCTGGCTTTGTAGTTAAAAGACAGAGAAATTTTAAAAAAATCACTGAAACTAACAAACTGTTGCCTACTCCATAGCCTTTGTTTTGTTGGAAATGTTAAAGTGTGAGGTGATTTGCACTAAAACTGCAATGGCCCAGGGAATTCATGGTGAGTATATAGTACCTCTGCCAGGTTGCTCTCAGACTGGAAAAACAGCCTGGTTGTATTGAAGGCCTCACTATATAAGTGTGTTTTAAAAAGCTTTCAATGTGCTAGCTACATTTGGTTGCCAAACAAAGCTCTCTCATGTAAGCCAATCTACTGCTAAGTCTTCTGGCTCACTAACCACATTTGTTTAGAGACTGTGAAGCTGTAACCACATAAGAGCTTCTAGAGAAGGATGCTATCACACAAGGCAAACAAAAATCTATTCTCATTTATCAGCTGTGGCAAAGGAACAAGGTTTCTGTGAGGTAAAGTTTCAAAACTAAGCTATCTCCTATAACAAATGTTAAGCCAAAAACACTTTGCACTTAGGCCAAAACTAGTATACCAAGGGCAATCTGCTTTTTGGTCAGGCTGCATTACAGATTAAGACAGGCATACTGCGCAGGACATCACAGAGCCTATGTTTTACTTGCAATATATGTGCCTCTGTGTGTATATATTTTATGTATGTTTTATCTCAACTTCAAAAGAACACATCACTATAACCACCTGCTACAAATATACAGCACTTAGACATCTTCACCAAACACAGCTATAATGCTACTTAGTTTTCCCTTGCCAGTAAAAGAAAATTCTAAATAGACAAAATTAAGTCAAATCGATGCTTCATAATTCCTTTTCTTCTTGTCATGTTCACTTAAGGTGAAATATGTGATTAAGATAATAAATCACATGAAGCTCATGTTTAATGTCCTAATCTTCCACACATTTCCTATGTAATCTTTAACACACACACCCCCCCAGGAAGAAGGCTAGAAAATTTCTGAAAAGAAACAAAGATGTAAAAAGAAACTTATGAGAACTGGGATACTGAGATGGATTATATCACAAACAAATTATAAAAGTCAGTAAGGACTATCTTTAAATAGCAGTTTTTTCCCAGTTTGATATTAGCATGGAATCACCATTCTCATAAAATCAAGAATTGTCTTGGAGTTGTAATGTTAAAGAACAGACTGGACTAGAAACTGTAAATTCAACTTTGCAAAGTAGATGTTCAACTGTTTTGCAAATGTTTGTCTTCCTCTAGAGAGCTCAGGGAGTAATATGCATGGTTCTCCCCTCCTCTGCTTTGCCCTCCCAACAACCCTTTGAGGGTAGGTGAAGCTGAAAGAGAACCAGTGGACAAGGGGCACCTAGTGAGCCTCATCCCTATACTATATCAACTCCTCCCTCCACGCATGGAGAATATGAATTACAAATAACTTCGGTGTTCTAAGATTGCAGGCACAAAGGTTAACCAGAATTAGTCTCTGTGTGTATCTTGCACTTGAACTCCCCTACCACCACCATGTTTTAAAGATTGAATTAAACCTTGGTTTGAATCCTGGATTGCTGTCGAAAACTAGCTCTGGTTAACCTGCCTACCTCATGTGGAGAACAGTGGAGCTGTTCAGCCTCTGGGCTTAATGGTCTGATGTCTCCACCCACCTCCATTATAAGGTCTGTGTGCATCCCCCAGCAGTGTAGGAAACACATGGTGATGTGGGCTTTCAAATGCTTCTGCCTTCACCTTAGAAAAGAAATATTGAGGAACCAGCCCTGTGACTCTTGGATACTTGGTCTATGAGATAATGTCCAGCAAATGAAGACTTACCATGGCCCCGGTCACACGGGCCAGATATCGCGCGGGGGGAGGTGTGGCTAATTGCCCCGGAGGAAACTAATGTGCGGCCGCCCGAGCACATGTCCCGATCGAGGTCCCGTGGTTCAGGGGAAATACCAATCCGACGGGTATCCTGCAGCACGGCACAGAAGCCACGCCGCACGATTGCACTAGCAATCGCTCTTTGTGCGCATGCGCTCTTGGGCGCTGTTGCGCAACCTGCGGAGATGAGCAGCGGCGAGCACCAGATGCCACGTCAGTCCACTGGGAACGCGATTAGACACCCGCCCTTGGCCCGCGGTTTTAGGAAACTAGTACCTCGTAGGTACTAGTTTTTAACTCTGCACCTTCGGCGGGGAGCCACAGGTTCGCCACGGGAGCACTGCGCTTCCCAGATGTTGGGGTGAGATCGCGCCCGGAAAATCCACGGGACTCCCGTGCCTCTCCCGTGGCAACTTTGCCGTGTGACCGGGGTCCATATTGATAGTACAGAAAAAGTGACAATTATCGTTAAGCCCATGAAGGGGATGAACTAAAAACAGTAATCTTCCTTATTAAAAGGTGATCTATTATGTATGGTAATATGACTTTTTAAATTTCACATCAGGATTTAAGTATACAATTTAACAGTGTCATTTCACAAGGCATGGAGGGCTCACCTGGTTCTCCTCGTCGCCCAGGCTTTCCTCGCCTTCCTGGTGGACCTGCAGAAACAAAAGATTTTGTCATTTATTCAACTTCTCTCCCATCCTTTTGTCTTTCAAGAAACCTGAAACAACTTACACATGGCTTTGCAATTAGTGCCCTATCTAGGCACTGACCAAGTTACGACTCGTTTAGCTATTTCTCCCTCTTTCACAACACTAAATGACAACAGTGAAGTCAATGGACAACAGATTTGACAGACAAGAGGAAATACATTTGCTGAACAAGTAATTTAATTGTGGAATTCACTGCCAGCAGAGGTAGTGACGGCCAGTAGATCTGACAGATTCATGAGGATAGGTCCATCAATAGCTACTAGCCAGGATGACTAAGGGGAACTTCCATATCCAGAGGGAATAAAACTTTGAATACCAGCATTGGGAAGAAACATCAGGGGGGGGGGGAAGGCTTTAGCTTTTATGCCCTGTCTGCTGGCCCCCCACAGGAACTGGTTAGCCATGTCGTGAAACTGGCCTAAATGGATCCTGCAAGATCCTCTTGGGTTCTTATTCTTTAACAGTGTAAGAACTTCCTTGTGCCCTAACAAGCTATTCAAAGAAACAGATCAGTAGGTCAACATGGAATAAAGTCACCCTTGTCATCTTAACAAATATGAACGTATTCCATCCCAGCTCCTGCAAAAACGATGATGTTCAGGTGAACAAAACCCAATGTATTCCCTGTCAGTCCTATACAACAGCTCTCTATGGGGATTTCATCAGTTTGCCATTTTTATTACTTTATTTAGGCAATATCTTCTCTCAAGAAAAGGTGACAGAAGCATTGCCAGGATCCTTATTGAAACCAGGAGATGCAATGCAAGTTGTCCTTGCAGGCTTATGAAACTACATGGAAGAACAAATTGTTTAGACAGTTTCTATCCTTAATTACCAAAAGGTGAATAGCTTGTTTCCCTCTCAATTCACATGCCCTGACAAGTTGAGGGAACAAGGACGTTCATCATCATTGCAACATCTGGCTCTAGCTCTAACATTTCAGTAACAACATTTCACTACCTCAGAAGGAAAGACCCTGATCCTTCATGACTCATAATTTATTCAATACTTTTTAATATTTATTTTTTATTTATTTTAAACAGCCAGGGTGGTGTAGGGGTTAGAGTGCTGGACTAGGATTTGGGAGACCCAGGTTTGGAGACCCATGACACTATGGAAACCTTCTGGGTGACCTTGGGCCAGTCATGCACACTCAGGCTAACTTAACTCATAGGGTTGTTGTAAGGAGAAAATGGAGAGGAGAATGATGTAAGCACATTTGAGTGCCCACTGGAGGAAGTGAGCAGTGACTCAAGAAAGCTCATACCCTACCACAATTTTTTTTAGTCTTTAAGGTGCTACTGGTCTCTTACTCTTTTCTGTTGCTACAGACAGACTAACACAGCTACCCATCTTGATCTATCTCTACTGGAGGAAAGGTGGGGGTATAAATGAAGCAAATACAAAAATAAACAGATTTTAAAATTTTATAATGTCTTCCTCCTCCTTAAACAATCAGGCCTCAAAGTGGCTTAATTTGGTCATATTTAGCAAGTTTCCTGAAATTATAGTTTCAAATAATGAGTAGAGGGTTTGAAAAACAACCAATATTTTCTTGATGACTTTTCCACATAAACTTGGTGACCTCTAAACCTTTTGCTATGATTGTGACAGGTACTTTTTAGTAGGTTAATCCCATAACACTAGTGCAATGTTTAAAGCTCCACAAGTGCAAGGATGGGATTAATTGTGTGGATCTTGGTTTTGTGTCTTTAAACATTACACTTGTCCTATAGGATCAACCTACTGAAAGGTTTATCCCATGGTTGTCATGCGAAACTCAAAGGACACTTCACATAAGTGCAAAAGTCTGGTAAAACTCTGTTTTACCAGTTTGAATCAGGTCAAAGTTTGGTTATGCAATCAATATTGTCATCTTTAGCTAATTCAGTGATGTTAAAGTAACATTAAAAGATGGAAACCACAAATTACTAATCCAACAAAATCCAGAGTTTTTAATTCAAAGGGGAATAAAGTGACATCAATGTGTGACAATCCTCCAGATTAAAATTTTTAAACGCATTCAGCTACAGATGGCACTCATGAAGCTGCCTTATACTCAACCAACCCATTGGTTTATCTACGGCCGGGTTGTCTACTTGGACTGGTAGCAGCTCTCCAGGGTCTCAGGCCTGTCCCATCAACCCAAAACCTGACCCTTTTACCTAGAGATGTCCTGACCTGGACAGCCCGGGCTACCCCTATCTCATCAGATCTCAGAAGCTAAGCAGGGTTGGCCCTGGCTAGTATTTGGATAGGTGACTTCCAAAGAATTCCAGGGGTATGACACAGAGGCAGGCAATGGCAAATGATCTCTGAAACATCTCTTGCCTTAAAAACAAGTCTAGCTTGCCACCTAGTGGCACACAACACTAAAAGAGCTAGAACTTCTGCTAGACAATCTTAGGATCTCCTGGCTATACTACGCACACTGCCTTATGATGATGATACCTGGCAATATTAGGAACTGAACCCAGAATCCTCTGCATGCAAAGAGGAGGCTCTACCACTGAACCACTACCCATATTTTGTAAAGTTTCTATCCAACCAGAATTTTCTATTATTCAGAATCAAGTCCAAGCTCTCTATGTGTGTGGTTGGTGGTCTTGCTTATATAGGAGAACACTTTTGGAGTCATTATCACCAACAGGCAATGAAGAGCATTATGTTCCTGTCTCTTTCACTGTCTACATGTAATGCTGTATTTCAAGGTTTTTTTTTTACTCTACTGAACCTGTTTATTCAACTCCATTGTTGAAATAACTGTTAAGTTGCCAAAAATGTTGCCTTTTTACATATAAAAGCTCTAGAGGTCTCACTTCATGAAATGGCAGTGGGAATGTCTGCTTGCACTACAGAATTCTCAACACCCACCAAGGGACATTGCATATGTAGAGGCCAAAAGTGAAAACATTTTTTGTGTGTGTGTATGTGTGTGTATTTTTGCATTTTATATTTGTGTGTGTGTGTATGCCCATGCCTGGAAGTCATAGTGACCTCTGGTGACTCCTACTGGGCCATGGAAGACATTCAGAGAAGTGGCTTGATAGCCTGCCTCAGGCCTCCCAGCCCTGGTATTCTCTGGAGGTCTCCCATCCAAATACTTGCCAAGGTCGGCCCTACTAAGCTTCTGAGATCAGGCTTGCCTGGGCTATCCAGGTCAGGGCAAAAGAGAAAACATTCTTGTTCATATATTGTAGTAAACCCTCCCACTCAAGTCTTTTATATTGCCATCCTAAACAGGCCTACTCAGAATCCCACTCAGGTCTATTCAGTAGAGCTTACTCCCAGGAAAGTGTACTTAGGGTTGCCCTGCAAGGATGGTGAATTACCTTTTGCATTAAAATAGCCTGTGGAAGGGGTTGCATAGCACAGAGGGCAGTGAACATATAACATTCTTCCCCCGCCCTCTTCTAAAGTTTAACTGTGCTACAAATTGACTTGTGTGAAAGGTTACACATATGTGCTCCAGACTCATTTCTTTTTTTCTTTTTTTTGGTACTATGTCAACTTGAATTGCACCACCCAGTGGTTACTATTGTATCAGAACTTTTGCTGGGATTAGGTGCCAAAGATTCACTCACTTGATCCCACGAGTTGCTGAATCAGCACAGTTGCTCATATGATCATGACACAAGTTCATTGGTTGATTTTATTAAAAATATGTGGAGTTATTGAACTGCTTGGGTTTTTTCCTCATTAAATTTCTAAGAGGGTTTCTGTTAAATTTTGTGTGGATCCTATTAATCTGACAAAATCCAAAATGGGGGGGGGGGATTTAAAAGAATGCAAGACTTGAGAGAGAGTTTAAGTTCTGACAGATATGCAGTATCATAATGGAGGGCGGGGGGGGGGGAATACCCACACACTTCCCTTTTTCTAATGCCAGTTAAAAGACATTTGGCTGAAGCAGAGAGACTCCCTTCTTGTAAGTGAAGCCATATGATGGACATCTATTTTAAATAGAGAGACAAAGACTGAAATAATCAGTTGTTTGAGGCTCTCTCACAGGGATTTTCATACAAAGCGCCGGCTGTCTACTTTTAAAAAAATTAAGGCCATGGGACTGAGTTGCGTGGGCTGGTCTGGATCAGACCAAATTTCAGAAAGATTTTACATGTCACCCTGAACTTTTATAAAAGTGGCCATATGTGAATTAAACACAAGTATGACTGGAGACAGTGGGAGTGCAAGGCCAGGGAATAGCCTTGATCGCATCCTCGATTGTAAATAGTTTTCTAAGCATAAACATCTTTGAGAAGCTTTAGTGGTGGGAAGTGCTGTCAAGTCACAACTGACGTATGGTGACCTTGCAGGGCTCTCAAGGCAAGAGAGATTCAGACCTGGTTTGCCATTGCCTGCCTCGATGTCATGACCCTGGTATTCCTTGGAAGTCTTCCAAGCTTAAATGCATTGGACCTTGAGTCATTTAGGCCCCGGTCACACGGGCCGGATATTGTGGGGGGGGGAGGTGTGGCTGTTTGCCCCGGAGCGACCTACTGCGTGGCCGCTGGATCAAACATCCCGCCAACGTTCCGTGGTTCAGGGGGAGGTGCCGATCATACGTCAATCCTGCAGCACAGCAAAGAAGTGGCGCGGCGGAGGTTGTGGGGTTTTTTTAACATAAGTGTGCGCATGCGCCGTTGGGTGCTTGTGTGCATCCCGTGGAGACTTGGAAAAAAACAACCTTTTCTCGACGGGACATGGGCGGGCGCCGGATGCCACGAGCTACCACCGGAAATGTAATCAGACGTCCACCCTTGCCCTGCGATTTCCGGAAACTAGTACCTCGGAGGAACTAGTTTTTTACGGCGCATCTTCTGCGGGAAGCCTCGGTTTAGCCACGGGAGCTCTACGCTTCCCAGATGTTGCGGTTTGATCGCGCCCAGAAAATCCGCCTATCTTCCATCTCTGTAGTGTGGCTAATGCTCCTTGTGACTGCA